ACAAAAAGTTCTTCCTTGTGTCCAACCTGCGCCTCCTCTGCTACGACCTGAGGCCGTTTCCTCGGCTCCTGTTCGTTGCTGGGAGCAGAGGCCAAACCCCTCCTCGTCACAGCCCCCCTTCAGGAAGCTGCAGAGTGCACCGAGGTCTCCCCTGAGCCTCCTCTTCTCCAGACTGACCAACCCCAGCTCCCCGTAAGACCCCATCGTGCCGTAGACCCTTCAGCAGCATCACTGCCCTTCTCTGGACACGTTGCTGGGCCTCGATGCCTTTTTTGTCGTGAGGGCATCAACCAACTCCCCCAGCTCCCTTTCCTCCTCACAGCCGCTCCTCCCACAGCCCTGCACGGGGTTATGATGGCCGAAGTGCAGCACCAGGCACCTGGCCTCGCTCAGCCTCATCCCCTCCCCCTCAGCCCACATCCCTGGGAAGGGCCTCCCCACCCCCAGGTGGATCCACACCACCCCAAACCGAGGGTGCCCTCAATGCCCTCATCTGGGTCATGCAGAGAGATGTTAAACACGATGAGTCCCTCACCCAGATCCACCAAATCTCAGCATTTTCACCTCAAAACCAGCCGAGGCCGTGCTGGGATGCAGGCAGGATGTGACAGGACGTCACAGGGTCCCTCATTTCCCCCCCCAGGTGCTGCAGTTGCTGCAGACAGCTGCTGCCAACCGCTCGGTGGCTCGGACAGCCCTCAACGACCATTCCTCCCGCAGCCACAGCATCTTCCAGCTCCGCATCCACGGCACCAACGCTGCCCGCGAGCTGCGCTGCAGCTGTGAGTGGGGATGGAGCTCCTCTCCCCCCTTTTGGGGGCCCTTCTGCCCCTTTTTGGGCTCTCCTCCCCCCCTTTTGAGCCTCTCCTTCCTCCTTGGGGCTCCCACCCCCGCCTTTTTGGGCTTCTCCCTCCTCCTTGGGGCTCTCCTCCTCTCCCCCTCTCCTTTTTGGGGCTCTTCTCCCCCCTTTTGAGCCTCTCTTTCCTTCCTGGAGCTCTCACCCTCTCTTTTTGGGTTTCTCCTTCCCCCTTAGCCTCTCCCCATCATTTTTACGGCTCCTCCAACCCCATCCTCCTCCTTTCAGAGCTCTTTTATCCCTTCTAGGGCTCCTCCATCCTCTTCCTGGCATCCCTACACCCCCATTCCACGCCTCCTCATGGCTCCTCCCACCCCATCCTCCTCCTCAGGTTCCCTTCTTCCTTTTGGGGTCACTCCTGACTCCATTCTCCTTCCTCAGGACTCTTCCATCCCCACTCTCACTCCTCCTGTCCCCTTTTGGGGGCTCTTTCTGCCCTTTTTTTGGACCCCTCTACCCTATTTCTCTCTCCTTCCTTTTGGGGCTCCTTTTCTTTGGACCCCCTGCACCCCATTCGGGTCCCTTCCTTTTGGGGTCCCTTCCTTTTGGTTCTCCCCCACCCTCCTCCTCTTGGCTTCACCTTTCCAAAGCCCCTTCAGATCTCTATTTAGGGCTCCCTGCTGGGGTTCCCTTCACCCCAAAAGGACAAGCCGGGATCCTCCCTTTGGGGTTTGCACTGAGGAGGTTCCTTTGACCCCATTCTTTTTTTGGGGGGGGCTTTCTTTGATCCCACCAAGGTTCCCCTTTTGAGGGTAGCTCCCATTTGAGAGCAGGTCTCCTTTAGAGGGTTCCCACTTTGGGGGGGGATTCCTTTGACCCCATTCTTTGGGGCTTTCTTTGATCCCATTGGGGTTCATGGGGTTGGGGGGTCTCCTTTTGATGTCTGACCCCCTTGGTGCCCCCATTTTCCCCCCCCCCAGCCGTGCTCAGCCTGGTGGACCTGGCGGGCAGCGAACGTTTGGACAAATCTCAGTCTCAGGGGAAGCGGCTCCGTGAGACTCAGTCCATCAACACCAGCCTGTCCTCCTTGGGGCTGGTCATCATGGCCCTGGCCAAGAAGGTACGGGGGTCCCAACGCCCCCCCAGACCCCCCCCACTTTAATCCACACCCCCCCAACGCTTCTCTTTTGTTGTCCCCCCCCTCAAGGAGCCCCACATCCCTTATCGTAACAGCAAGCTGACCTACCTGCTGCAGAACTCGCTGGGGGGCAACGCCAAGATGTGAGTGGGGGGCACAGATCTGTGCCCCCATATCCTGTAACCCCCCCCCCCAAATTTATCCCATCACCCCACACTCATCTCCTGCCTTCCTTCCCCCCCCCCAGGCTGATGTTTGTCAACATCTCCCCCCTGGAGGAGAATTTCTCCGAGTCCCTCAACTCCCTGCGCTTCGCCAGCAAGGTTGGGGGGTTCTTGGGGGGGTGGGGGGGTCGTTTGGGGGGGTCCTCAGGGTGAAGGGGGGGTCTTGGCAGGGCTGGCAATGGAGGACAGGGGGGCAGGTTCTGGATATTGGGGACAAAAGTGAGGGAAAAGGCGTTAATGGGGGTGAGGAGGGGGGTCTCATTTTGGGGGGGGTCGGCAGAATTTGGGGTTCACCCCCTCCCCCCTTTCCTGCAGGTGAACGAGTGCGTGGTGGGCACAGCTCACGCCAACCGGAAGTAGCCCCCTCCGCCCGCGCCACTTCCGGTCCCCCCGCAGTCCCCACCGGTTCTAATAAAGAATCCCCTCCGACCGGAGCTGATTGGCTGCGGGCGTCACGTGGGCTGAGGGGGAAAAAATGGCGGCTCCCACAGGGGAAGCACCGTACGGCAGTATGGCGCCCCCCCCAGCGCTGCGACTGCACTTCCGGTCTTGCGCACTGAGCCGCCTGCGGTGGGGGGGCGGACAGTTAAATCTCTTAAAGGCGCAGGGTCCCAAAAAAACCATTTTAATTATAATAAAAAAAAGATGATAATTTTAGCGGCGTCTCCTGTCGGGTCGCGCAGCCGAGCGCTTCGTTTTGCTCTCTCCAACGCCCACGCTGTATTGTGGCCGTATTTTGTCATTTTTAAAACCCCCCCCTCCCACCCCCTTCAGCCCGGGGGGGGCTCAGCTCTCCGCCCCCCCCCTCGCCCCCCGTTGCGGGCGGCTGCAGACGGAACGTTTGGGCTGGGAGCACTCGGAGCTGCCGATCCCTCCGCCGTCCGTGTGAGCGCAGCGTCCGCTGCCCGCGATGCTGAACCTGCGGTTGGGGGGGGGGGCACTCAGAGGGGGTGGGGGAGGTCAAGGACCCCCCCAAAGCAGAGCTTCGACCCGGGCTCCATCACAACCCCCTCCAATAGAAGGAAAAACTCTTTCAATCGCTCCCGGCCCATCAATGGCCCCTCCAGGGGTCCATCAATGACCCCCTCAGACGCCCCCCCCCCAAAAGGCAGAGTGGGACGTACGCGTTATTGAAGTCAGAGCCATTGGGCCACATCCAGGGCCCCCAGCCCTCCCTGCGCAGCCCGATCCAGTAATGCACGGAGCTCCCATAGCGCAGCACGAACTCCTATGGAAAAGAACGGCTGTGGGGCACGACGGACCCC